TGTTTAGATAACTGTTGCATCTGCCCACAGCAAAACGTTCCATGTACATGAATGTACATGAAAGTAGTGCTGTAGAGGTACACTTAAGCTTTAAATCATGTGTACCAAAATCTGAAATCTGGCTCATCAACGACTTCAAAAGCCTGTTGATTTTTTTTTTCTTTTGTTTACGTTTATACAGTTGTATACTATTTTCTCTGTGGCTCAAACAGATTAAAAATATTTTTTATGACATATTTCTAATATATATCTTAGTTTGCGTATCTGCTTTTCCGAAATACTTTTCCTTTATGCATTCCAGTTATAACACCTCCACTCTACCAACCTCCAAAATGTTGTTTGCTTTGATTTCTGAAATGTATCATTCTTGTTATTGTTTTTTTTCCAACATTCATCTCTTCACTTTTGTGAAATTAAACTCACAAGTTACAATTTAATAAAATCATTAAAAAGTATCATATTCTTGTAAGCATGTCAGAAAAAATACATTTTGACTTACCTATTTTGTAAGAAGGCTATTCTCATCTTTCTAAAAAAGATGTTTTTTCTATAAACGTGAACGTAAAATGGTTTGATAAGAGAAGAGTAAAAAGCTTTGATCAAATAAAAAAAATTTGATGCAAACTGACATAATTTCAATCTGTAATTGACATGATGGGTTAATAGCCCTGAAAGTGTTAATTAAATCATTAAAGATAACATTGCCTGCACTATAGTGGCCAGAAATCAAATAGAACATTTTAATTTTTGGAAGTGAAAATTGACTTTTCCTACATTTTTGTTTTTCTTGCACGAATACAACTAACATTTTATAATCTGTCTGGATTATCCATGTTTGAATATTAAATATCACATAAACGAAAGCAACTGTTTCATTAAAAAAAAAACAAAAACAAAACAAACAAAAAAAAACTTTCTTGTCAAGCATTAGGGTATGCTAATGAATAATAAAGCATTTTCTCTAATTTTCTCATGGACGCACTTCTCCAATCTGAGCACTCTTTATGTGTCCTTAACAATGATTTATTTTTCAGGATTCTAATCACGATATTGCTGTCCATATCTGAGACCTGAAAATGTTGTTTGGAGATCATAAACTCCTATGCTAACTCCCACTTCCAGCTTAATTATTACAAACAATCTCTAGCTCACATAAAAGCCAATTAAAAGACAGCAAGAGTAGCCATATTTAATATAAATAATATCAATGGCTCATGTTCTCTCAGCATGAATTGGTTTAAACACTTATGCTATGAATAACTACAGAACAAAATTTGTATTTCTCCTGAAGTAGAATAGTTTTTTATAGGAGGACTTCTTCAAGCTGTAAAAATTTGCATTTACATACAGACTGTATTATTCTTTCAAAATCAAAAGTAGTGTACTTTCTACTGTAATAACTAAATATCTCTTTGAAACTCTCAGTGAATCTGAAATACACAAATTCTCTATTTAAACATTAATCACTGGATAAGATGAAGGTGCTTTCCTGGAAAAAAAAAAAAAAAAAAAAAAAGAAAAAAAAAAAGAATAAAAGAAAAAAAGCTTAATGTAGGAAAAAACTCAACATCTAGTTTGTCTTTTTCTCATCTGCTATAATGGTAATACAAAAGTTCTATAGTCTGTGTAAATCTTTGTTTTAAGAAGTAGGTACTAAGCCCAGTTAAGAATTTTATACTTTTCTAAACTGGATTGCTTAATGAAGCACATGCAATCCTCTGCACAAAAACGTCACTAAAAATTGATTTAGAAATAACTTGACATGGCTTCAACAATTCCACACTAAGGAGATCCAATCTTATGCTTGAATAAATTAGCTATCTGATCTTATTTCTATGATCTATTCCTTTATAGTCTTCTTTATGCAAGAAAAGCGGAGAGTGTTAGAATTTTCAGCCATCTAGGCCACTGTCTTCATCCCTTAAATCTTTGTCAAAAGGGAATCCTCCTGGAAGCTACGCTAAGGCATAGAAAGCCCACAGAAATGATCTAAACATCTCCCCTGTGAGGGCAAGCTGAACAAGAGAAGGTTCCAGGGAGACCTAATAGTAACCTTTCAGTACTTAATGGGGGGCTATGAGAAAGAAGTGGACGGACTCTTTAGCAGTGTCTGTTGTGACAAGACAATGTGAAATGGTTTCCAAATAAAAGAGGGAATAATTACATTGGATATAAGGAAGAAGTGAAAAGTAGTGAAGCACTGGAACAGGTTGCCCAGAGAAGTAGTGGATGCCCCGTCCCTGGAGACAATTAGGGTCAGGCTGGACAGGGCACTGACTCACCTGATCAAGCTGTGAATGCTCCTGCTCATTTCAGGGGAGTTGGACTAGCTGACCATTAAATGTTCCTTCCAACTCAAGCTATTCTCTGATATTCAGTACACTTTGGCCTACTTGTAGCTACTAGTATCTGACCCATATGAGATGAAATAAAAAGCCAAGTGATTTGATGCTTATATAATATGCATTTAATAGAAGAATGTCAGTCTCATTACATCACAGTCAACACATGAAATGTTCACATATGATTGTGAAAATTGTTTTTAAATTAGCAGAGTAACTAAGGACAATGAGATGTGAAGAGGAAACCACACAAAAATTGACACTAGGATCAAAAAGGTATAGAAGCAGCGTGCATATGATAGGTACTTAAGATCAAGTTTAGAACGGTCATTTTGCTCTGTTTAGCATAGAACAAGTGCTTAAGTGATGTAAGTCTATACATAATTCACTTTATTACTATTTTGAGTTAAATTCTATTCTTTAAGTGGTTGGTGGCTCCCTATTTTTTAAAGCTGGTCACAAGAGGGCAACATAGTTACATATGTATGGAGCAATTCTGACATTTCACCAAATGGAAATTTTCAGTATAGCAAAATTACTGTAGGGTATTAAAATTGCTTATTGATTGGTGCTTCTAAAGGCATAAATATCAGATTAAAACTACAACAGGTAACCTTAACCTTTAGATGAGTTTTGTAGTACTGTCTGGTCATAGTATAAAATGGAAAAATAAAATTTTTCAAATAGCATGTAAAAGTTGAATACAATTTTCAGTGCATTCTTAGGGGATGTGCCTGCTCTCTTTGGAAAACCACGCTTTTGCCAAATCTATACAAAGACAGGAAAAATATATATATCAAACAGGCAAGTAAAACAGAATAGTCTGAAAATTCTAATGTTGGAAATTTCATCCCCTATGTTTCTTCTGATGCTCTCTTTAAATTCTTTGATTTCATACAATTTTTTATTCATAAGAGCTCTACCTCCTTTTCAGATTTTACCATTTTCAAATACTAAACTCTGTAGCTTAGTGACTAGGGAATATGAGATATTTGGGTAGAATGCATGTGATACATTAATTTTCTCAATTTTGTTTTCTTAATAAGATCAACTATATCAACAAAAGCTCTTAGGTGAACCGCTGATTAAAGACATATTATGTTTGTTTGAATATAAACATCTTCCTTGATAACAGCGCTGCATAACCTTTCAATAATTTCAAAGTCAGTTTTTGTTCAGATCATCACAAATATTCTTACAGAAAAAACATGGTAGATCTTATACTCTGAAAAAACAAAAGCTATTTTCTTAGTGCTGATTATCGATTTCAGGGTTGTTTACTATGTTTATATTAGATATAAGTCACAGAACACACAAAGGAGCAAAGAGAATTCCCAGTATACGTACAATGCTGATCAGCAATATTGTCATTATTAATTACCACAACATCACAAACTGTGTATAGGAAATCAACTGGAACAAGACTTCCAAGGACTCTTAGACAATGTCAGACAAAAATAAGTTCCAGTCACTGTAGTAACAGATTTGAATAACCTTCTGATTGTATTGTAGTCAATGGCAAAACTCCCACAAATATCAGAAAGGGCTCAAGTTCAATTTGTGACAGTCATCATGAGCCGAACAACTAGCACTGGCATTTTAGATGTAAAGTAAGAACAGTCAGTCTTTCCATGACTTGTTTGGAAATGAATGCATTTTCATTGTCTACAGTGCTTCAGTACCTGATCTGTATGAAGAAAACTCTGTAAAGCCAAAGTACAGATTTGGAGGACAGAGATTTATAAATGCTGACGTGTTACTTTCTCACCATGCTCCTGAGAAAGATCTGAAAACTTTTTCACGTCTTGGTTTCAGCTGGAACAGAGAATCTGGTGTGTCTGGTATGATGTTATGTTCTGGCTTTAGGTCAAAAGCAATATTGGTAATACACTGCTGTTTTAATTGTTGCTGAGCAAAGCTGTACAGAACCAAGAACATTTCAGTTTTTCAGCTTCTCGTATTGTCCTGCCAGTGAGAGGACTGAAGGCATACAAGGAACTGGGAGAGACAGAACCAGCACAGCTGATCCAAACCAGCCAAAGGAATATTTCGTACCATATGGCATCATGCAAAAAATATAAACAAATTGATGTAAGTTGGTCAGGTGTGAAGCTGAGCTTGGGGACTGGCTGGACATTGGTCAGCAGGTGGTAAATGATTGTTTTGTGTATAACTTGTTTTATAATTACGTACATATATATATATTGTTGCAATTGCTATTAAATTTCTCTTTTCCTTTTCTATCATAGTAGCTTTTATCTCAACCCACAAGTTCTGCTTTTCTTTTTTTTCCAGTTCTCTTCCTCATCTCACTGGGAGATGAGGAAGTGAGCAAAAGGCTGTGTTTAGCTGCTTGCAGTTTTGGATCACAACTTGCAGAGATTGAGTATTTCATTGAGTTTTCTTGTCACGATCAGCTTTCCACTCTTACCTTGTTCATTCCAAAATTTTAAAGTTGTTATTTATGTGGGGTGAAAGGATGCTGGGAAGAAAAGAGCAAGAAGATATAAAAAAGATAAAAAATAAAATTCAAAACCAAATTCCAGAAAAAGTCTTGTAATTCAAAAGTCAAGTGTTGTATTAAAAATAAAAGTTAAAAATATTAAAATGAATATTTTGTTTATTCTATGAGACTATATATATATATATAACATATTCTTCATTTCTGAACAGAGTAAAATTAGGATCATTGACTGTTTCTCTGACATTATTGTTTGTTGCATAAAAAATTTAATGAAATCCTAAGTTAATGTGAGAATTCTTTTGAAGAATGTGGTCTGTCAAACAACAGCTCATTTAATCCCAGGCCTTAACATAGAATGGCTTGTATTAGGAGGGACCTCAAGGATTATCAAGTTCCAGCTCCCCTGATGCAGGCAGAGTTGATTGAGTACTCGATCAGGTTGCCTAAGGTCCCATCCAACCTGGCCTTAAACACTACCAGGGATAGGGCATCCACAAACTCTCTGGGCAGCCTGTTCCAGCACCTCACCAGCCTCTCAGTGGAAAACTTCCCCCTGACATCTAGTCTAAATTTTCCCTCCTCTAGTTTAAATAATTTCCCCTTGTTTTATCACTATCACCATGTAAAAAGTTGATTTCCTTCCTGTTTATAACAAGCTCTTAAATACTGGAAAGCCACAATGAGATCTCCTCCGCAGAACTCTCTTCTCCAGACTGGACAAACCCAGTTCCTTCAGCCTATCTTCATAGGAGAGATGCTCCAGCCCTTGCATCGTCTTTGTGGCCTTCCTCTGTACACTCTTCAAATGCTCCACATCTTTCCTCGCGCAGGGATTCCAGACCTGGATGCAATACTCCAGAGAGGGCCTCATGAGAACAGGGTAGAGAGGAACAGTCACCTCCCTCACCCTTCTGTACATCCCTCATCATCTACATAATTGATAAAAATGTTAAGGAGTATCAGTTCCAAGACAGACCTCTGGGGGACAGCACTCATCACTGGCCTCCACCATATAGAGACATAGAGACATAGAGACATATGGACATAGAACCATTGGCCACAACCCTCTGGCTATGTATATCCAACCAATTCCTTATCCACCAAATAATCCACTCTTCAAATCCATATTTCTTCAATTCAGATATAGGAGTGTGGTGGGAGACCATATCAAAGATTTTTCAGAAGTCCAGGTAGATGACATCTGTTGCCTTCCTTTTATCCACTGTCAATTCACCATAGAAGGCCACCAGACTGATCAGACTTGATCATCCTTTGGTGAAGCCGTGCTGACTCATGAGTCTATCTTGAACTTGCTCTACCCTTATAGTGGGGAGTATTTTACTCCCCTAATTCTCACTATGAGGCTTATGGATGTAAGGTTAAGTGATGTGAGAATTCAGGCTGCCAGAGAAGATTAAAACAACGAGCTCATCTTTATGTTGTCATCCTTCTCTATATATCAAAATCTCTCAACAATGAAGGCAGAAATGAAGCATTAGTCATTTTTATTGCTTTTGTCCTTCTAGTCTAGTTGTTTTCCTTCTTGTTGTTTAAACTAGTATAGCACACCAGGTCTGTGAGCTTACTTCCTTAAAGCTACCCTGTGTGTCATCATCTTATTTTGTTAGCAGTTCTCCTTCACAGATTTCAACATCCTGTCTCTTCTTCACTTCTCGTTGTTTGTTGTAATCCCAATTCTTCCAGCAGAATCTAGTTCCATTCTTTTTGGATCTTTACCTTCCATGAACATATTCTTTTATTTCATAAACTTGAGACTTCACAGATCTGTAGTGCAGAATGTATATCCATTGCACATTCTCAGGTGAACTGAAGATCAAGCCTTGGTTTTAGGGAAAAGGTAAGATGGACAGTTTCTAAAATGCTGTATGAAATACTTTAATGAGTAGCTGAAGTGCTGTTAAACTACATAGACCATCTTACATGAGCTAAAAATACTGCCACCTAAAAAGGTAACAGGAAAAATAAAGGTATGTCACATGTATGATCAGTCCCACTGACTGGCATGTACATATCTGTGGAATCTGCACTTAAAGCTAATTATTTGTGTAAGGAAAAAGGTAGGTGAAGCGCAGACATCAACAAAAATAAATGGAAACAAATGCCTTGATGACTGCAATCTAAATGTACAGAAGAATTTGCTGAAGTCTTTTTTAAAGCAAAATTCTTGTTTAGGCATTAAGATATAGAGAGAATTTAATTCTAAGAAAATGTAAAATTATATAAAATAGTATAAAGAACAAAACACAGTGTAATAACATAAATTTCACTATGGGCTGCAGAGCAGGAAAATGAGAGCAGGTCTTTCCTAGTAGTTGTAAATACTACTTTAAAGGAGTTTCTGAGAGTAATAATCAGACCTAGCTTTACTGCTTGAACTGATATACCCTTTTACCCTACAAGAAAAGTGAAGGTAGGTGATTTCAAAGAAATAATTTCTAATGTTCTTTTTTTTTTTATTTTTACTTGACTGTACTTATTAGTAAAAAATAAATATTGCAGCAAAATACACAATAGAATTTAAGAATCATAGTAGGCAGTGAAAAATAAGAAGTGCATGAAGTATGCAGCCTTCCATATATTGCAGACATTTATTTTAATTCTTATATATTCACTTTCATTACTCCTGGGATAATTCTTTGTGCATTCCCCTGTGGACCACAAGCCATTCTCCAAGGAAAGGTCAGCTACCTCAAAACTCCCTCTACTTCTTTCTTCAAGGAACTCAACATGAGTGAATAATTACAGAGATTTCAACAAGCAAGCCTCTCATGTCTCCTACTGGCTTTTAAAGGTACTATTATCCCCTAATAACCTGTAAAATCTCAGAAAGAAGGGCAACACAGAGAAGTCCAGCTGCTTTCTTTTTCTGCTCAGCTTCAGCACGATGGAAATCAGGAGCCCCTGACTGTGTTATGGCCTTGTGTCAACTCTTCCACTGCTGTCACCCATGGTAGCTCTCTTTTCATGACAGGTTCCTCCTCATTAGTTTTTACATTCTTACTGCTGAAACTCATGCACATTCTGTCGCACAGTTGCTCTTCAGGCTGCCACTCACCTAAGATTCAGGACCTCATCCAAAGTACAGTGAATCTTCCAAAACTTTTATGATGATTTGGATCTGATTTGTAAATAAAAAAATAAGAAAAGACTTGGTTAATTGGTTTTCTATGTTTCCCATTTTTACTATATTTTGACACTCTCTTCAAAGTGTGAAAGAAAATCATGCTGACACGAACCTTTTCCACATGTGGCATACTTAGAAAAAAGTGAATTTCTTGCAATAGATAAGCACAGCAGAAATTTCACTGTAGGAGTACTGTGACAGATGAATAAGTGCAGCTGGCTGCACTAAGTCCTTTGGGAAGTGCTAAATCACTATGTAGTTAGAATAGTTTCTACAAAAATCATATAGAATCATAGCATACCCAGAGCTGGAAGGGCTCCACTAGGATCATCAAGTCCAACACCTGGCTCCACATAGAACCATTCAAATCTTATGTCCTGAACTCTGGAAGCTTGGGGTTATGACCACTGTCCTGGGGAACCTGTTCCATGGCTATCTCCTCTGATGAAGTATTTTTTCCCAGTCCTCAACTTAACCTTCTGACACAAATCCATGTCATTCCTTTAGGTCTTGTTACTGTTGTCACCAGAGACAAAAGTTCAGAACTGCCCTTCCAGTCCCCTGGTGAGAAGCTGAAGGCTGTCATGTACCCTTCCCTCAGCCTCCAATGCTCTGGGCTAATTTGCCCTAGGTGACTCCTCCACCTTTTGTTTATCTCTCCATTAAGCTCTAGAATCTCATATCTGTTATATAAGGACACCTTGCAATGTGAGATAGGCAAGGAGTACAAAACTTAACTCATAGTACTCTGAGTACAAAATTTCCATTTCCCTTTCTTTCTTTGGTCCTCCCTTGCCTGGTGATAGAGGGCAAGGAATCTTTCATTTCTTGTGCTGTGGCCAGCTGAGCATGATTTCACCATTCCATATCCTCCGATTCTGTGGCTAGATAGGGTAGAGGGGATGCAAAGGACAGAGCACTTTGCCACCTGGGTGCCATGAGTGGAGAAACTAGCAAGCCATTTAGGACCAACATCAGCAGTAGCCATGTTCTGCCACAACTGCAGCCAGGGCCACTTCTGTGCATGCAAGAAATGGTCGCTGTCACTTCTGGCCCTAACCATTCTTGTCAGCTGCTCTCTGAGAGATGCCAGCTTCCATCAGGACTCCATGCTCCCCTGGTGTTTGACAGACATCATATGGTCATCTATGAAAATTAAAAATTTATGCTGAAAATGCAATCTATATAGTAGCTTTAAAATAAGTACCCTGCAAATGAAGCTTTCAAAATTGAACAATGATCTACATATTAAATCACTCTAGAAAGTTAATTTAAAAGAGAAGTCTGCAGCCAGTAAGGAGGAAATGCATATTTGTTTATTGCAGTGTTCTACCAGGGCTGTGTGATCTCTGGTATTTAAAAACATGTGATTTTAGTGGATTATTCCCTGCTTTTTAACTATAGAATATTTTTATTTGTGGCCCTTGAATTCCCTATGAACTTCAAGTGCACTTTTTTCACTTTTTTTTTTTTTTTTTTTTTTTCCCCTCCTGGAGAATTATCTGACTTAAGCCACTAGGTAATTTTAATCCATGTTTTTCTTCAAACCACAGATGGTTCAGTCTGCTATTTGGCATTGCTTCTGTATGGAATAGTCAGATGGACATCTGAAATATAAAATGACATATATTATTTTGTGTGTGTGTACGTAATACAGTGATATTCCTAATGAGAATGTTCAGACAATGCTATGCAAAAATAACTAACAACTGGATTTTCTTTCCGTTATGAGTTCTGTGGTTATTCTTTTATGAAGTCTGAAATGCCAACAAAATGTTCACGATAGCTGGAAGTTTTTCCTGCAAGAGACTCAAAATGCATTAATTCAAAGAGCTGATACAAATTCTGAAGTGATTTTTCTTCTGCAAGAATTTCAGTTTTACACAGGCTAAAAAGTTGCTTTTTTTTTTCTCCTACCAGTGTAATTACTTGCAATAAAAGGAACGACTAAATATATGAGAAATATTTTCTTACTGTTGATGACAACAATCATAGCAACAGAGAATTTCTCTAACCTGGAGAAACATTTGAATCAATTTTATCCGTGTTCTGGAGTTCAAAATGCTCGTCTGGCTTCAAATAAACCTTTATAATTTAATCAACCATATTGTAAATCAGAAGTTTGAGATTTAGTCCAAACGGATTTAGTAGGTTCCGTACTTTATTACCTTGTACATATGCTTTGGATTGATTAAAGCAATAGGCAAGAAAAAGTTTATTTTTCTTTTAATAACTGTAACATAACAAGAGCAGATAGATAGCTTTTCTAGTATGCCCTTTTCTGTTGTTTCTTTTTGGTAAAGACAACAGAACTCAAGCAATCAACTTTGCTGACAGCCACAGTTCAACTTGTTCTCATTGGAAGGGGAAGAAGTGAGGAATGCCTATCTGAAACTCCTCTGTCTCCATGAGATTTTAAACCTATTCATTATCAGACTGAAGACATTCTGCATTTGTCAACAAAAATAATAGTACACATTGTCAGATGCACTGCATTTCCACAGCCATGCTTTTTTGACAGAGAAGACAAGCAAATAACCCCCATTTTCTCTCTACTTAGCCTAATTTGTTTCTGCTACCTCAAAACAGACTATTATTGTGTTTATAAATCAAAGTATAATGCTTCTTTACTGCATGACAGTCTCAAATGTGATGAAGAATTTTTGGGACTACAAAACTGCACACACATTTGCTGACGGTAAACAAAGAATAAAACGGTGAATTAAAAAAATGCACAAAATGGCAATCCATATTTTCCCACACATCTCTCTATCATAAACTCCATAGATAGTGCTATGTCAATACAATAACAAAAACCACATCAAAGTTGACAAGCAAGCTAATACAAAACCTTGGACTTCCTAGATAGGATTATATTTTTCAACCTTAACAATGGAGCAGTGGTAACAAGGAGAACCTTAAATGAGTTAAGTGAAGAGAAAAAAGATACATTTGAAGATATTGAGGATACACTATTTTAGAAGTTCTATATAAGTAGACTGTATCCCTTGTAAAGCTGAAGGGAAGATTTAAAATATTTCAATATGGGGAAAGCACAGATACATATAGGGAAATTTCAGCAATGATTTGGATATTTCTTATTGAGTCCTTGCACACATGAGGGAAAGAGCCTGCATTTTTTCTTATTCACGTTAGCTAGACTCTGAACCAGTCCCTTCCCATAATCCCCACTCAAAGAAGATAATCCTTTACAGCTGGCATACCTCCAAGATTTATATTTCTGCAAATCAGCTCATCTCCTTGATCAGAAAGTATGGATATAATTATGACTGTTGAAGTCCATGGCCATCTTTCCTGTTAGGGGCAAAACTTAGTAAAGAATAACCACATGGTCAAAATCTTCCTCAGACTACACAGAAATCCACCATTTGTATAGATCCCTCCTCTCTTTCTTCCAGGGAATTTGTTCTTTGACTCCTATGTTTAGCTTCAAACACATATTATAGCCCTTTGCATCTTGTATTTATAGTCTTTATGATAAAATGTCATGCTTTTAGTTTGTGTGCTCCCTCCCCACCACTCCTTCCTCCCTCAATAAACAAACAAACAAACAAACAAACAAACAAACAAACAAATTACAACATAAATAAGAATTTTTACTAATAGTGGAGATAGTTGCTGATATCAAAGAACGATTTAATTCATTTATTGGTTTTATGTTCATATGTATGCAAGCACTGCTTACATCACAATATTCGTTCAGGTCTTCCAAATCTTATTCAAGGAAAACTGACTTTGGATCCAAACAGAAAAAATTATACCCAGTACTTTTGTAGTCACCTGAAGAATTAATCTGCTTGACTAAAAGTGGAAAATTGAATACATTATCATATGGTATTACTTTATACATTGAAAGAAGTTGCTTCAAAACATTTTTCTTTACAGAAATGTCAGTTCCTTTGCATTTTGGTTGCATGGCAATGCTAAACTTCTTTCTGCTCTGCTCAAGAAAAAGAAAAAGGAATATGAAAATTTTGGCACCAAGCTATCAATGAGTACATTATGAATTAAAATCTTGTGGAAGGAAACTACACGACATTTCTATTAAGGATTTATGTTCTTGGTAATCCTGTTAGTTCTTTCTTCCTTGGTAAACTATGAGGATACTTTTTTTTTTTTTTTTTTAAATGTTTGAATAGAAAATGTAAAGGTATCCACTATTCTAAAGGTCTCTTCTAATCTAAACAATTATATGATTCTATGATTCTTCACTTTCACAGAATCACAGAATCACAGAATCACCCGGGTTGGAAGGGACCTCAAGGATCATGTAGTTCCAATCCCCCTGCCTAGCAGGGCCACCAAACGTACACATTCAGATCAGGTTGCCCAGGACCCCGTCCAACCTGGCCTTGAACACGTCCAAGGACGGGGCATCCACAACTTCCCTGGGCAGCCCGTTCCAGGGCCTAACTACTCTCCTTGTGAAGAACTTCCCCCTAACATCCAACCTAAATCTTTCCTCCTTCAACTTGGATCCATTTCCCCTAGTCCTGCTGTTGTCAGCCCTTCTGAAGAGTTTACTCCCCTCCGGGGTGTAGGTTCCCTTCAGGTATTGATAGACTGCAATGAGGTCACCCCGCAGCCTTCTCTTCTCCAGGCTGAACAAGCCCAACTCCCTCAGCCTGTCCTCATAGGGGAGGTGCTCCAGCCCCCTGATCATCTTAGTCGCCCTCCTCTGGACCCTTTCCAAGATCTCTATGTCTTTCTTGTACTGAGGGCTCCACACCTGGACACGGTATTCCAGATGGGGCCTCACAAGAGCCGAGTAGAGAGGGACAATCACCTCCCTCTCCCTGCTGACCACCCCTCTCCTGATGGAGCCCAGGATCCCATTTGCCTTTCGAGCTGCCAGAGCGCACTGCTGGCTCATATTCAGTCTCTCGTCCATCAGGACCCCGAGGTCCTTCTCTGCCGAGCTGCTCTCAAGGACCACTCCTCCCAGCCTGTACGGGTGCCTGGGGTTCTTCCGGCCCAAATGCAAAACCTTGCACTTTGCCGTGTAGAACCTCATTAGGTTCACCCGAGAACCTCATTAGGTTCACCCAAGAAACTTTCCCAGTTTCTTTAACACAAACTTATGTGTGAGTTCTCAATAGTTCCATAAATATCATAAAGTAAATCTCAACAGTCAGAATTTTGTAAGTCATCTCTATTTTATTTTTTTCATCTTTGTACCTTTCAAAATTGACTGCATTCACCTTAACCATCTTCTTATAAGTGACCATTTAAAATAAAGAATGCTAATAACATTTTTACTACTCCTGTATCATGTTCTAAATGTAATGAGGGGACAAACTATTGCCTTAAATTTTCACTCACTCTAAGCACACATAGAAAATCCATCTCTTGATATAATTTCCTTATCTTATCCATCTCTTGATATAATTTCCTTATCTTATTTGTTTCACTTTGCTTTGTACTTCAACTTCCTGTCTTTTCCTATTTGCATTATTCTTCAGTTTTTATCCTCAGTAATTCCAATAGTTAGCTTATTGGAAATAAGAAACTATGAAATTAATTTCATCAATATTAAAAGCAACTTCAGTTTCATAAGCTAAATTTGTAAATAAGCATTTAACAATGTTATAAATCCAGATTCGCTAAAATGTGCTCATACAAAGTTTGGGACAATTTCAAAAATATCTCTTCCTTCCAGTCCTTAAAATGTTAAAGCAGGAAAACAGTATATGAACCTATAGTGAAATACTGGGTGTCTTCCTTTCTCAGAAATCCCAGTGGCTACACTATGACATTGTCAAGCATTGTACAAACTAATGCTTCACATCTTCTTTATTTTATTTTATTTTATTTTATTTTATTTTATTTTATTTTATTTTATTTTATTTTATTTTATTTTATTTCATCTCATTTCATTTCATTTCATTTCATTTCATTTCATTTCATTTCATACATGTCACATAAGTATATTACACATATTACTCATATTTCTTACCCATTTCAACACATCGATATGAACTTCTTACCCTGTGAGAGACTAGTTTGTAGACATCTGCTGAATTAAAATGTACAGGTCTTTGCCTTTAGCAGTCCTAAAGTGATATAAGTTTTCTGAGACAAGAAAGAATAAGAAAGTCTGCTGGGGAATAATTATAATATTTTAACATTACTTTGGTGTTTTCTTTTATTCTGAGAATCTTGCACCACTAGGAAGGCCAGGAAGTACATACACATCACTTTCAAAAAACAATACAGTAGCCAGTCCAAACTGTTAAGAGCAGAAGAAATTATTAGAACAGAATTCAGATATTAGAATCTCCTGTTGACATATCCTACAAGTCTTTTCACATCTGTACTATAATGCTGCCCCATTACTAAAAAAGTTAGGCTTAAGGACAAAAATAATCTATCAGATTTCAAGTTACAGTATCTACACTCACATTTCCTCTGTACTTTGAGCTGCGCTTATTTAGCACCAAATTCAAATCAATAATAGAGTTTTTGTTAACATACTCCGAACCTAAGCACAGATTATAAAGCAGACTAGACTTGAATGCTTCTAGCATTCACACATCTGTGCAAACATGAAAAAAATATATATATTGTTCAAACATCCTCAGAATTTCACACTAGTAGGAAATCTGCTTTTTCTTTCCTCCTGATTCCTCTATCTTTTTCTCAATTACAAAAGGAAATATAGACCAGTTCCAAATTTTACAAATTATATACAATAGAGATTTATGAAAATGGGCAGAATGAAAATGCCAGCATTTATCAATTACAGCTGAAAATGAAAAAGAGATTTAGTCTACAATAAACAACAATTTTTGCTCAAGTGAAACAAGTCATAAGTATTCTGGCCAAAGATCAGAATGTATTTTTGTTAACAAAGCCACTACAATCAAACCAAATGCTATCCTTCTGAAAAAGTAATTAAATTTTCAAGAAATGCAACAGTGGGAAACTTGGCAGGTAACTTATATTACTGCTATGAAAGTTACTTCACAGTCTTCCTTAACACACCAGTTAGGGTGTTTCTTATATTAGGAAAAATACAGATAAATTAAGAAATATCACCTTCCCAAAACAACTGAGATTTTTAAACTAAAAAACAAAACAACAAGAAAACAACAAGAAAAAACAACATATAGGTATGAAAGGATTTCTGAAGTTCAGTAATGCCCTGTTCAAAGCAGAATGAACTCTGAAGTCAAAGAATACTGCTTAGTGCTGTGTCTTGTTGAGTTGATCTCCAGTGACGGAGATTCCAAAGCCTTGTGGAGCAGCTGCACTGTATTTGATCACTTGCTTGGTGAAAACTTTTTTCTTACCTTGCTGAGATAATGAGGACAGAGTATTTGCTAACAACAACAACAACAACCTCTCTCTATTTTATTTTATTTTTAATTGGTAAAAGGAGACGTGCATATGAAATCAATTTTCTCGAAAAAGATCATAGAATCGTAGACTCATAGAGTGGCTTGCATTGAAAAGGACAATAATGATCTAGTGTCATCCCCTCTGCTCTGTGCAGGGTTTCCAGACACTAGATCAGGCTGCCCAGAGCCACATCAAGCATGGCCATGAATGCCTCCAGGAATGGGGCATCCACAACAGGGGAGATTTAGATTAGATGTTAGAAGGAAATTCTATTCTGTGAGGGCAGTGAACCATTGGTACAGGCTGCCCAGAAAAGTTGTGGATAATCCATCCCTGGAGGTGATCAGGACCAGGTTGAATGGGCCCTGGGCAGCCTGAGCTGGGGAGTGGCAGCCCTGCCCACAGCAGGGGATTGGAACTGGGTTATCTTAAAGATCTCTTCCAAACTAAACCGCTCTGTTATTCTAAAGATCTATAACTCTATGAGCTTAAAGTTTTTATCATTGTAGCTTGTGTTTGTTTGTGCACTATGTCAAGGAAAAAAAATCCTAAGATCACTCAGAACTTAAACAGACTGAAAACAGCCATCAGATCAGTGAAAATTACCTAAATAAATGCTTTTCACTCTCTGTTAGGCTTAATAAATGAAACCAAAAAAAGGAGCAATAAATTTACAGTCATTATTCTGATTGTTAAATGATTTACCAAGAAAGCTTCTCCTAACTTATATAGTAAACACACTGTCCTTAGGATAAGGTGCTCACTATTTTTTTTTTCTTGGTCAGTGAAACGTTGATCAACTCTGCTGCAGTAGATAAGGCAAAGTTAAAAAAGAAATGCATACAGTATGCATTGTGCTACTGGTGGTGTTACTCTCCACTGGAACCAATTAAATCCCAGCACAAACAGACTGTAATCCATTCATTTTATTGGAATAATTTATGCTTTCTATAAAGCAAGATAGGGGCCAGAAAAGTAAGGAGTGATTTTGCTAATCTAGTGGTATGTACATACCATGCACTGAATTTCTTTGATAAGAGAATTTTTCTAAAATTACCAGGATCCCGCTGAGTAATCAGAAAGCAAGATAAGAAAGACAATATAAAAGCATAATCTTCAAAATTCATATTCCTCACTTCTCTTGAAAATAATAGAAATGAA